TCTAATCCTCGGCAAAACTGAATTACATTTTTGTTGAGATAAAACTGAATCTTTCATCCTCATCCTCTGTGTAACTGAATTAAATTTCTGTTAAGGTAAAACTGAATCTTTCATCCTCTATCCTCTGTGTAACCGAATTAAATTTCTGTTAAGATAAAACTGAATCTTTCATCCTCTATCCTCTATGTAACCGAATTAAATTTCTGTTAAGATAAAACTGAATCTTTCATCCTCTATCCTCTGTGTAACTGAATTAAATTTCTGTTAAGATAAAACTGAATCTTTCATCCTCTATACTCTGTGTAACTGAATTAAATTTCTGTTAAGATAAAACTGAATCTTTCATCCTCTATCCTCTGTGTAACCGAATTAAATTTCTGTTAAGATAAAACTGAATCTTTCATCCTCTATCCTCTGTGTAACCGAATTAAATTTCTGTTAAGATAAAACTGAATCTTTCATCCTCTATCCTCTATGTAACCGAATTAAATTTCTGTTAAGATAAAACTGAATCTCTCATCCTCTATCCTCTGTGTAACTGAATTAAATTTCTGTTAAGATAAAACTGAATCTTTCATCCTCTATCCTCTGTGTAACTGAATTAAATTCCTGTTAAGATAAAACTGAATCCTTCATCCTCTATCCTCTATGTAACCGAATTAAATTTCTGTTAAGATAAACTGAATCTTTCATCCTCTGTCCTCTATGTAACTGAATTAAATTTCTGTTAAGATAAAACTGAATCTTTCATCCTCTATACTCTGTGTAACTGAATTAAATTTCTGTTAAGGTAAACTGAATCTTTCATCCTCTATCCTCTGTGTAACTGAATTAAATTCTGTTAAGCTAGATAAAACTGAATCTTTCATCCTCTATCCTCTATGTAACTGAATTAAATTCTGTTAAGATAAAACTGAATCTTTCATCCTCTATCCTCTGTGTAACTGAATTAAATTTCTGTTAAGATAAAACTGAATCTTCCATTCTCTATCCTCTGTGTAACTGAATTAAATTCTGTTAAGATAAAACTGAATCTTTCATCCTCTATCCTCTGTGTAACTGAATTAAATTTCTGTTAAGATAAAACTGAATCTTCCATTCTCTATCCTCTGTGTAACTGAATTAAATTCTGTTAAGATAAAACTGAATCTTTCATCCTCTATCCTCTGTGTAACTGAATTAAATTTCTGTTAAGATAAAACTGAATCTTTCATCCTCTATACTCTGTGTAACTGAATTAAATTTCTGTTAAGATAAAACTGAATCTTTCATCCTCTATCCTCTGTGTAACTGAATTAAATTTCTGTTAAGATAAAACTGAATCTTCCATTCTCTATCCTCTGTGTAACTGAATTAAACTGTTAAAATAAAACTGAATCTTTCATCCTCTATCCTCTGTGTAACTAAATTAAATTTCTGTTAAGATAAAACTGAATCTTCCATCCTCTATCCTCTGTGTAACTGAATTAAATTTCTGTTAAGATAAAACTGAATCTTTCATCCTCTATCCTCTGTGAAACTGAACTAAATTTCTGTTAAGATAAAACTGAATCTTTCATCCTCTATCCTCTGTGAAACTGAACTAAATTTCTGTTAAGATAAAACTGAATCTCTCGTGCTCTCATCCTCTGTGTAAAATAATTAAATTTCTGTTAAGATAAAAAGGCATCTTTCATATGCATGCTCTCATATACTCTGCGTATATAGCTGAAATTACTGTTAAGATAAAACTGAATCTTTTATGCTGAATTAAATTTCTGATAAAACTGCATCTTCATGCTCTGATATAATCGTCTGACTGTAAATGAATCAAATTTGCATTCTTATGAGAAATGTATTTGCAATGAACAATGAGGCGTACCTTTATATTATATCATATTATTATTATTAAAACCTCCTGGCAAATAATTGAATAACAGGGTAATACATCAATTCGTATAATTAAAATGTCTATAAAGATAAAAATTTAAATTCTATACTATTATATTTACAATATTTACATTTTCACAGTCACAGACATATTACTTGAATGACTGTTGTAAAAATGAACTTAGACACTTATAAGCGGAAAAGGATGACGTTTTTACATCGTCTTGTTTAAGTTACTTTACGTGATGCTCTTGAATTTTCCGATCGCAGGCTGTAACCGTGGGAGTAAGACTCAGTCACATCTAGTAGATGTTTTCAGTAAAGGATGACATGGTTGTTGTACTGTATTCATATATTTTAATTTGGCACAAGATATTCCTACGGTTTGATAGCAATGTGAGTCCAGAGATTCGTAAGGAGTCGTTGCACGCGTTCTGACGCTGGGTAAATAATACGCAATGCCTGTCTTTGGGCATCCTCAAGTTGGTTACTTATATATTTAACAATTATTCGCCGAAGGCGAGGTGATTATCGGGGAATATTCGCCGAGACGAAGTCGAAGTGAATATCCCCCGATAATCACCAAGCCTGAGGCGAATAATTGTTTTAGTATTTTTACACAAGTCTTTTGTGGTTTTGGCCCAATTTGGGACTGCATTTATTTTAATTTCGCTTATTTGTTTATAAGTAACTTCCACAAAACGGCTCGGCCGCCATTTTGAAAATTTCTGTTTTGTTATATTCACCTGTAGGTGAATATAAGAGCTTAATACGTCAAATTTAACCAATCAACGTGTTGGATTTGTTATGTTCACTTAATTTTGTGCAAAAATACTAAAACGGGATGTTCGACCATGCCGGAGACGCATATTACATTGTCAGTTTAGCATTACTTCCAAAAGTTTATGATATACAGTTAGCTACCTTTTTAAATGCATCTGTCGGTCCACAAACATAAAAAATAATAGCACATTTTCAATTAAAATACTCATTTTCAATGATGCTTCAAAATTGACGTCATTCATATTTACAGCAATATAAACAAAACTTTAATACTGAAACGATTAACTGCATGAAACGTAAATGTTTGAACGAAGTCATAGCCAAGTGGTATATTACACTCATTAATTTTCAAGAACTTCTCTCGAGATGAAACTGTATCTTTCATAGTGCTCTCATCAACTACGGAAATGAATTAAATCTCTCTATATATGTTAATATAAAACCGCATCTTTCACAAACATGTGTATACATGTTATTATTCCGGACTGCGTAAATGAATTGAATTCCTAATAAAGAAGTCACGTTTTATTGCCACTTTTAGACTTTTATTTAAACTTATTTAGAACTTAGTCCGTTAACTAGAACAAAAAATTAGTCCGTTAACTAGCCTTTCTTCGAAGAAGAAATTTTAATATTCGATCAAAACTTATTGTTGGCTTGAAGCCCACGCAAAGCTCGCGAGTTTTTGCTATTGTATTGTGATCTTATAGGGGCCTATATTCAATCCGGTATTTCGGTGTCGTGTAACCAAGGCGTGTATTTTGTATCACATTTGTTAGACAATGTGGTCCCATAATTTGAATGTTCTTCTGCCCAACAAATTATTGAATATGTTGTGATAAATTTGCGCAACAAAACTGCTTTTCTGAATATTAGGGGGTGTTACACCCCCAAACCCTACATGCAGGATTTACGCCCCTGCCTAAAACTACACTCTGAAAAACATCGAATGCGTGTCCACTTCATAACAAGAATGTTATAAAGTCTTAAGTACTTATGGAATCCTTGAGATAATCGTGAGACCAATGTTGCGATATTCCACCTACGCAATACTGGTATATATAAATAAGAGACCAGCATGGGTTCTCAAACACTCACTGATATAATATACGTACACTGACGAAATCAAGTTACTGACATGCAGAGTACTCACTGAAGACGTACTAGTTGAAGGGTTATTTCATTGAAAACTACAGCAGGGGTAAGCTTCTAATTCCTTGGACGTGTTGTTGGTATATATACTATAAGGTTGTACGAAGCTATAATAAGCTTTAATATTTCGTTTTAATAAGCTTTTGTACATCATTATACGAGGAGTTAAACAACAGAGCAAGCTCCAATCAAGGTTTAACTTCGTTAGAAACTGTTGTAGTTTTGGATGAAACGTCATCTTTTTTCAGGTACACTGGCCAAGGATTACTATAGAATATTACCTACACTGGATCATTATATAGATAATAGTTATACAGTTTCGTCCATTCTTTTCGTTGCAACTGTCCTATATTTCCACGAGAGATCACGATTTTAATATCAATAGTTGTGTCTAATTTAAATATTTTTTTAATGTAAATCCTAAAAATTATTATTACTATTACTATATATTGAGTCTCTCACTCATTGGTGAGCCGATTTCCCAAGATATCATGCAATAATAGGAAAATCTTTATGAGTAAACAAATTCATTAGCAGATTTACTAATTTTTTAGTGAAATAACTCTTTACTACGAAAATGGACTAAATTTGCCCATACATTTGACTAATTTGAGTCTCTGTAAAAGTTTTTGCAGTGTTGCAAATAACAATGTTATCATTTATCACGTTGCTACAAGGTTGTCACTCAAACCATGTTAACAAGTTGTTGAATTGCAGGAAAATACCAATAAGTTGTTGGAACAACTTGTAACAAGTCTACAATTGAGCCAACGACCAATTATAGCTAGTTGCCAACAGCCCGTTAAAAACTTGGCAACAAACTGGGAACAATCAGCGCAAACACATCTTGATAACAAGGTGTTGAACAGCTTTGGTACACGTTTGCTGCAGATTTTTAACAAGCTGTTCGTTTTCAGTCACTTGTGAAGCGAGCTAGGCCTTGAGGCATAAAGGTGAATAAGCACCATAAAATTGTTAAGTAAAACACTGATATCATAAATTTATAGTTTTATTGTATCAGAAGAAGAAAATACAAGCATTCTATTAATTATAGTCAGAATACCACACTGAACATACTGAAAAATATAGCATTACTCGTGTGATCTTAGAAATTGAATAGAAATACATTGGAATAACTGTGTTTTCATTGAAGAATAATGCCAAAATAAATTGTATATCCTCATTAGCAGACTAAAATGGCAACAGAAGAGCTAACAAGAGTCCTTGGCCACCCAGGAAAATTTCAAGTCCTGTTAACCGCACTTCTTTCATTAAACAATGTATTTGTATGTTGGAATCACCTTGGAATGGCGTTCCTTGCGGCCAAAACTAAACATCACTGTACGGTGAAAAATTCTTCAGACATCGGCCATCTTGTACCGTTAGTTAAGAAGAATGGAAAAGAACAGTGGGACGGGTGTAAATTATACTCAAAGTACAACAGTTCTGAAAAAGTCGAATGTTCAAGTGGATGGACTTATTATCTTCCTGACAGAGAACAAACTATCATCTCTGAGGTAAAGTTTCATGTCTATTACTCTATTTCGAAGAATTTCTTTTTAGTTCCTTTTTGTTATTATTAGCATGACAAAATTACTGGATGCTGATTGGTTGAGATGAGTACACTTATTTCATTAATTGTACTGCAGTACAACTAATGATTTTCCCAAAACAAACAAAATGGCGGAAAGGTATTTTGAACACAAATGTGAAATGAAATTGCCCTTGAGGAACTAGATGAAAATACAAACAAAAGCACCAAATTTTGCTTTAACAAAAGAACTAAATGAAAATACGAACAAAAGTATCAAATTTTGGTTGAAAGTCTGGCAGGACATGGCTTTGGCGACAGAATATGATCTTGACGGAGATGTATCCAATTTTGTCATGCTAATAATAAACAAGTAATCATGAAAGATTGCTGGTACAATTAGGGATTAATAGTACTCGTGATGTTTGGAAATTTGCCAAATTGGACTCGCCCTGGTGGCTCGTCCAATTTTGGCAAAATTTCCAAACATCACTCGTATTATTAGTCTCTAATTGTACTCGCCATCGCATGATTACCTATATACATAATAGAAAATAATTTAAATATTTGATATTAGCCTATTTATTTACTTATTTATTTATTTATTAACTTCGCCATGTACACCTATATACTGAGCACTATTATAATATTGTTATACATCATAATTCTTCAACTCTATATATACACAGTTCAAGACAAGCCGGGAATCCGCAACAGCGTAAGCCAATTCAACTGACTATACATTCAACTATTAGTTGTATACTCACAAAAAATGTAAATAATATTTACCTTTATAAGCTCAATTTGTATTAGTTTACCTCATATAATTATCTAGAAGTCTAGAACCTGACCGATCATCTGACTCTAATATTTCTTTGTTATATTATATAATACTAACTACGAGACCATCAAAGACTGCTTGTATTCAACTTCAGTTCATCAACGAGATGGTTAGTCCATAACCATGCAAAATCTAAATGGTTCTAATCATATCATATATAGGTTGTCGATAGGTTGAAGTTCTACATTTTGGAACTATGAATTTAGTCCTCTTGTCAGCAAAATTCAAGGTATAGCCTATATAATTACTGTTAAACTTAAATAGTTTCAAAGTCGAAATATTTCCTTGAATTTTGTTGTCTTGCATGCATGTTTAAGGTTGTAGAACACCTTTGAGAGTTTGAGTGTTCATTTTGCCTAAAATGTTTTTATTGGTTTCCATGAAAGCATTAGACTAGTTCTACTATCTGACCAAGTTTGGACGAAAAATGTTGAAAACTCGCAGAGTTATTTAATAAAATACATTTCGCTTGCAATAAGAAAAACATTGAAAATGAAATATTCAAATTCAATTTTCTCCCGGAGAATTTTACGGCAATCACTGATTTTTAAACGAGTTTTGCTCCTGCGGGTTTTAATTAACGAATTTTTTTCAAATTTTCACAGGACATAGCTAAAGACGTCAGCTTCAAAATTGCGTTCGGCTTTGTTCTAATTTTGGATATTTTAATAATAAGGAGCAATTCACACAAACGATTCAGAAATATGTTGCAGTCGTCAAAGAAATCGCCATATCAGCGGAATGACGAAATAAACAAAAATTTCCGAACACAACTTTTTAGAACAACTATTTTGCTGTATAAAAATGATATTTTCATAAATATATCTTAAAACCAGCAGGAACATAACTCAAAAGCGTAAAGGTACCGCGACTTAAGATTTTCCTGAATAATTCTTACATTATTTTATTGTTTGTCAATTTTACAACTATATCATATTTTGCATTCACGCCACATTTGGTGAAAGTTTGATGAAAATCGGACTGATTTTTAAGCGAACAGTAGCGATTTTCCACAAAACGCCAAAAAGGGTGTCCTGTAACCTTAAATGGCTCAAATCTTGGGTTTACAGGATGTTAATATTGGCATGGAGTGTGTTTCATCCAGTATGTCGCGAAATTAATTGTCTGTTGGTAATGGATATTATTATACATTGTAGTTGGTAAAAGCAATTTGATTGGCTAAGAGCTTACAGTTAAATCGCGCAATCACGCAACCTACACAAAATTCAGTTATCTGCTAGCAGATAACTCAGTTATCTGCTAGCAGATAACTGAATTTTGTGTAGTTTGCGTGAAATTGAATGAGTGTACATTTCAAATGAGTGTACATTTCAATTTTCAAATGAATGTACATTTCATAATTGTAATGTTTACTTTAACAAGTAAATATTTTAATACGTTAACATCTTAACGATAATATGTTTGTTTTATATTTGTAATTAATTTAACTGTAAGACTTCCGAAGACTTGTTTATAGAAATGTTTTACTTGAACAGCTTTGCCAGAAATCATATTGAATATAACGCTTACCGAGACCTTGATAATTTTGCATATCGCAAAAACCGAATTCAATAATTGTTTTATTATACATTTGAAGAATAATTATTCTTCAAATGTATAATAAAACAATTATTGAATTCGGTTTTTGTGATATACAAAATTATCAAGGTCTCGGTAAGCGTTATCAGCCTCGCCTTCGGCTCGGCTGATAACGCTTACCTCGACCTTGATAATTCCGCATATCACAAAAACCTCATCCAATAATTGTTAATTATAAGATTCACATAGTAGAACCTAATATTTTAACTTAATGTTAAAAATAGCGATTGACATAGTATTCACGCGGAATATAACAATATAAAGATTAAAATTATTTGCAGAGGTTTCGTTGTATGCGTCACAACATCTTCAGAGCATTTGAATCTGTTTACAAAAGTATGCTATATATACATATTTACAAATTAGCCTGGCTATTACAGCGGTTCCATATAAAGTCTGAATCAGTCTAACATATTGACACTTTAGTGATGGCATATAAGTGTAGTTGTCGAGATCAATTAGTTACAAAGTTCGACTCAATAAAGCGAGTATTGCGATTTGTAGAAAGAGGAAAAAACAGCTTATAAAATTATCAGTCATGATTTCGTTCGCTACTCTTGTTTTTATAAATGAATGTAAAGCCCAGTCGAACTGCATTCACGACCCAACATTCGACTCCTCCAGTCATCAGGGACTTCTGAATTAAGTTGCAACATGGTTTCTTATATATCCATGGGATGACGTAATCTGCCGACAAGATGGGTATATATTACTATTTTTCTGGCAAATAAGCACCATCATCTCTATTATAAGGACTCGTGTGAAAAAGAGTCAGTCAACGCTATGCCGAAAGTCGTGGGTTTTCACCGGGTGCATATACGGAAAGTTGACAGGGTGTGTTAGGATAAACACAATTAAGAAGTAATATATCACAATTGTTGTAAAGATAAAATAATCTAAACGGCTAAAACGCACAGGTTGTTCCAAGTTGATATCGACAGGCGTGAACAATGTTATGCGCCCAACTATAACTGAGCAATTGTTGTCAACCATGTTGTTCCATGCAAGTTGTTACAGTTGAATAATGCTGTAACAACATGTTGACAATACTGTTCATCGCCGGGCCGCACAACTTCGTTTACGCTTGTTGATATCAACCTGGAACAAGTTGTTGATTTTCTCAATTTTTACGCGTGCATATACACGCGTAAAAACGCTCAGGTTGTTGCAATGTTGATGAAATGTCGATGTTTTGCTGCCAACATTGTTCACAGTTGTCAACAATATTGAACAATATTGTTACACCCGATTCAGGCTCAACAATATTGTTCAATATTGTTGACAAGTGTGAACAACGTGGGCAGCAAAACATTGTGTTCAATCGATCCTGTTAAGCAGTGGGCTCGGTGTTTTTTGCCGTGTAGGCTATTAAGTATGTGATTAGGTAAACGTGTATATACTTCATGTAAAGCGCATATATTTGATCATAATTATCCATATGCATGTAAAGTTGCGCTACAGAAATGCTAATAGTAATCGCAGCTCATGCAAGCATCATTACTCATATTTATATCCCACGCTTCTAGCGAACAACTTCAGATCACCCTGCATGATGAAGACACTAGACAGGGGTATCGAAACGTTGGGTCGTGAATGTAATTCGACTGGGCTTTGCATTCATTTATAAAAAACAGAGTAACGAGTGAAAACATGATGCGGGAAAAAAACAACTTGTCAATTCCCATTTCAATTGTTCAGTCCGAGGTCAGTCCCATATTCTCGTAGTCCTTTCTTTCCGCCTCTTGAAATTCTTTTTTATCAAAGACCGAATTTCTTACGGTCTGAGGATTGCATGTTGTGTATTTGTGATATTTGTGTCAGTGTCAATGATATATTATATATGCTATAGTTAAAGATTGCAAGTTCTTGAGAGGTAAGTTTTATACTTCCGTGATTAAGTTCCTGTTTTTAGCAATGAACATATAGAGATTCCATATAAAGTAATAATGACCAATGTCTGGATTTGTCTAATATATTACAGTTATTGAAAATTAGTGAAAACTCGAGATTAATTAATGGGTAAGGTCGATTAAACAGCGTCTTAGAGGAACCCAAGAGTTTTTGTATTTGTGGAATTCAAACCCTTTACTGCCTTCGTCATTATCACTTTATAAGGAATGTCAATATATTCATCGCCAGAAACCGGATCTTGTTAATCACAGAACTAAAACTTCATAAAGAGCTTGTAATATTTTAACTATATAGATGCATAAGCAAGACTACCATATCCTTATTAGGAACTGAAATTATATGCAGTCAAAAACATTTTATTAGCCTGGGAGATATCAAGTGTGCAGAGTTATATACATCGCTATTGAAAGACAGTATATTACTGATGGTGTTCCACAAGGATCTAATGTGGGCCCACTGTATTATAACTGCAGATACGTAGGACGTTGGGTCTAAAGATGCTCTTAGTAAAGCAGGCTGGAAGAACCTCGATGATCGACGTATTTCGCAAACTAACTAAATTAAATGTGATTAGGGCATCTCACTCGATTAAATTAACGTTGAAAGGTTATAAATGTAGAAAAATTTACGCTAGAAATTTCTATCTGCAAAACGTTTCAAGATATCTTATACAAAGGCTCTTCAAAAAAGTGCTTTGACGAATGTATGACTGAAAAGTTCTCTGTAATGATAATCATAATCTAAGGTGTAACAACTTGTTACTATACAATTTAATTCCATAAAAAGATCGTATAGTTATGCTGCTGCCAAGATCTAGAACCCTCAAAGCAATCGGTAAAAAAATAAACCAGGTGATGTCAGCCGAAACACCACTACTGCACAAGGACACCACAAAACAAATAAACAATTACAACTTGTGTCTTCCCAAAACCAGAATCAACGTGGGTAAACGGAGGTTTTCGTACATGGCTTCAAAACGTGGCAAAGAAACTCTGCACCTCACGTAGAGCCTTTAGCCTAACAGGTTCTGTAAAGAACACTATCAGATCAAATTAGCTAGTTCAACTGAACTAAACATTCAAAGATTATATTAGGAACTCTATTTTTTAATTAATTCTAGATATATTTGTCGATAGGTATAGTTTCAATATTGTGTGATCGTAATGTATGTCAGTTAATGTCTGTAATGTCTGCAATCTGCATGTAAATAATGTACTAATGTATTTTTAGAGGACCAGATTGGAAACAAGCGATAGCTTTATCTGTTAATCCTCGTTAAATAAAGTGTTATTATTATTATTATAATGGTAAATATCAGGATTTTGGCAAGGCCGGATTTTTGTGGATTTATAGTGGGGGAGGTAGAAAACAATTTAGAGGACTGAGGTGCAGCGTTCTAGCTCTCGACCCCAATGGAAAGTTAGGGCTTATAGAACTGGTCAAAGGCAACAACATGATGTATGCTGTAGTGTACATATATGTATCGGTGTATTAATGAATTATGACTGTACAAGTCATCCAATTTTGCCCTTCATTACAATTACTACGTTTCTTTCAAAACATTGCATTAAAAGGGTACTTGACGCAGAGATGAATGGCTATCACTGTTTCAATTTTACATAAAAAAAACTTTCTTACGAAGTGTAGACCCTAAGCAACCAAAAATGTCAAATTTGCACTTTAAACTATCATTAAATTCAAACTTTGTCAAGGGGAGGTGCATGACTTTTCAGGAGAGGTGTAAAAACTCTCATGGGAGGTGCAAAACGATCTCAGGTGTCCAACTCCCCACACATCCCCTCAAAATCCGGCCCATCTTGGCAGCTCTAAAGGTTTTTTGCTGATAGAAATTTCGAATGTAAGTGATGTACATTTTCAGACCTAACCAGAAGCAGCCACAACTGATATTTACCCAAAAAATGTTAACCACTTTCGAAGTGTTCAATTTTCCTTAGTTATTTACTTATTTAATCTTTTGATTCTCATTTTTAGTGGGACCTTGTATGTGATGATGCTTACAAAACCAGCCTAGCTATAACAATATATTTCGTTGGAGTTACACTAGGAGGAATTATATTTGGAACATTATCAGATAAATTTGGGAGAAGACCTATCTATATCATTACAATGCTTTCAGTCCCCCTGGTTGGAGTCATTTTGTTTTTCGCGAAGAATTACATCGCGTTTGTTGTGTTGCGTTTTATCCTTGGAGCTTTCATTCAGGTTGGTTCTTCGGAATAGTTCTTCCTTAAATGAACTAACTTTATTTGCAACACAATACACTACAGCTTAGTAGCTTACCACGACAAAAAACAATAGAACACAGCACAGCACAACGCATGCAACACGTCAACACATAGGCCATTCCAAAGAAAGGTTTCGGGTGGAGGGGTGTTCGTAATATAAGGACAATTAACTCTGCTGACTGTGACAGTTCTAATGTACCAAATGAGAATTATGATTTATAATACACTAAAACACTTGTTAACCCCTCCCCTCTCTGAGACATTTAGAAGATGTATGCCATAAATAGAATCTTGGGCATGCATTGTTGTGTTCAAAAACGATGTATACAGTTATATACAGTAGGTCTCTTTGGAATCTTGGGTATCAAAAAAGCTTTTGTGCAATAGATTTTTTAAAATTGTTTCGCATTATACAATATATATATATATATATATATATATCCTTTTATACTAGCCAAGTGCGACGATCAAGCTATGATCGAAGTGTATTAAAACAAAAATTCATTTTACTAGTTGTTGTTGTAGCCTCCATTGCAAACCTCATTGAAAGTGGCTTTCAAGCTTTCAGTCAGTACTCAATAACCGCTGCTTACACAGAATTTTCCGCCCAAAAAGCCGATAACTATAAGATATTTGGAAACCTTGCATGGTTTATCCTAAAGAAACATTTAATCTGTTCCCAGTGGATTGGATGGAACTGAATAAATAGTGCCAACCACATATTGCCTCGCTGCGTGCATGACTCGTTAATGTGTTTCTTGGTTTCTTGTCAAGCAAATTTTGCTTACCTGAAACTGAGCCTCTCGCCGTACCGACTGCCTGATAGAGGGTCCTGAAGGGGTAAATGGGAACTGTATCTTGCGTATTTCTGGACTGGGAAAATGAGATTTGGGAGTCTGAGACAGGGAATGAAAGACAGAAAAATGGGAATGAGAAAACCCAAATACCATTATAAAGACTGTTGTATAGTTGGACATTTCAGAGTGAAATAACTTTAAGAACAGCTATAGTGCAATTTTTGATACAGAATGTGTCTAAAAAGGTCCAGGAATGCTGAATTTAACCGACTCAGGGCTCAATAAGGTTATTTTTCTGCTATTGTTACTCAGTCATACATCTTTTTCTGGGCAAAACTAGTCCTAAAGAGGCAATTGAACGCCCAATTGTGTTTAAAAATCATCACATAGATGACCCACCTGCTCTGAAATTTTCTTTCAATTTCACAGTGAGATGGGGATTTTCCATTTAAAAAAAGGCTGGGGGATGGGATTTACAGAAAATGTGGGCTGGGAAATGGGACCTAGACCCTCTCCCCTCCTTCAGGACCCCTTTACACTGTAAATGTTAAGGAGATCAATCAACTCCAAAGGGGTTATTTTGTCACCAAAAACAGTGACTGAATGACAATTTTGGGGTTGATTAATTTGCAGTGTATACAAGTATCAATTAAAAGAATCGAGACGGCCGGCATATAAGCATTACTTACTGTAGGAACCACAAACACTTCAGCCTAATTCTAGTCTAAATTCTGATTTCTTAGGGTTTACAGATGACATCATTTCTAAGTTTCATGGAAATACTAGCAGTACAATATCGTAGTGTATCTGGTATAGTGTATACTTCATTTTGGCCTGTTGGTGTCATGTCATTGGCATTGATATCTTACGTTATTAAAGATTGGCGTTATATTCAACTGTTTATCACAATGTGGCCTTTGCTTCAACTTGGAGTAATATTGTGAGTGTGCTATATACATATATTTATATATATAAGGTTTGAAATTCTGGCCTTTCATTGCACTGGAAGTAGAAATCTTTTTCCTGCCAACTAAGGTTTACCTGTGGTTCATGCAGCTAGTCAGCTTTCGAACAACAGCTCAGCCCGCCGCCCTAGTAATTAAAGTTTTAAAACTAGATCATAAGGGCATACGGAAAACGTACTTTAATAACAGACATACCTTCACTGCAAGTTGTATAGTTTCCGATTTATATTAGAAGAAGATTCATATTAACCCCGAATGCTGTTTTTCGAAGGCAAAAGAGCAAACCTTGACTGTGTGAGCCTAGACGTACGCCTGTGAACTGCCTAAACAAGCATAGCCATCCACAAGGCGACAATTTACATGTTGAATATTTGTGGATAAGTGCTTGCATGCATGTCATTTAAGCTTTTCTATTGCCGATAGAAATCAATTTTTTGTCTACGCTGTTGCATTTTGAATACAGTGTACAGGGTGTATAAAAAAAGGAGACCTTTAGAAATTTTTCCATTGTATTGCAGTCGCTTTGCCCGCGTGGGCGGAGCGGGCTTTGAAAATCTGCTCATCTGCCCGCGCATCATCATTATCATCTCATTATCTA